CCCCAAAACCCCAAAACCCCAAAACCCCATCAAATCATTATCTATAATAAATGAGTCATGAAATAAAGGAATTAAGATTAATTAAAGATTGGCTATTTTGCCTCTTCCAAGTTAAGCGATATTTCAGCATTCATCAGAGTTGATCTCTTCATCTCCGCTTCCCCATTCCTCATCTGAACCTAGCTTTTCATCATCTTCCCATACTTCCTAGCCTGCTTCATCTTCATCGTGATCATCTTTCTGCCACTTACCTTCATTGATCTCATTTCCATCTTCGTCTACTGGATTGATATTTTATGGGAACTTTTGAGCTAACTTAGAAAGTCTCTTGCCCTCCTTTAAGATCTGTTTTTGAAATCTCTTGTTAGTGTTTTTCTCTATCTCTGTAGATATAGTTCTTCTTTAGATGGGCTTCTTTTCAATTTCCTTCCATCTCTTGCTTGTGGCTGGCTTCATAGTCAGCATCCAGTCTGGAACATCAAGTCCTGATTTCTTAAGCAGATTAGCAATATTTCTCAAGAATTCAGAGTCGTCGTCTGTGAAGTAAGTTATAGCTTTTCCTGCTTTACCAGCTCTACCTGTCCTTCCTATTCTGTGAATATAGCTGACTATACTCTGAGGGAAATCATAATTGATTACCATATTAACTCCTTTGAAGTCAATACCTCTAGCCATCAAATCAGTTGCAATCAGCACCCATATTTTACCCAGTCTAAACTACTTAATGATCTCATCCCTCTCATGCTTTTTCTTATCAGCGTGTATCACATTAGCATTTAGTCCTTCATATATCAATTCATGGAACAGTTCCTTAGCTCTCTGCTTTGACTGCACAAATATTAGCATAGGAGGCTCAAATCCAGCCTGGAAAAGCTATCTTAGAGTCATTAGCTTGCCTTGTTCATCTCCTACATATTGAATCTTCTAATCAATAAGTTGATTTGATGCATTCTTAATACCAATCTAGATCTTAATTGGATCATCCATTATAGTCCTAACCAGGTCTTCAATACCAGGCTACATAGTTGCAGAGAACAAGAACTTGCACATCTTCTGCTAATTGTTCTACTGACTAAGAATAGTATCAATCTACTCCAAGAACCCTAGCTCGAACATCTTATCTGCCTCATCTACTACCAGGAATTCTAGATTGTTTAGGGGATGCTTTTAGCATAATTCAGCCAGTTTCAATGGAGTGGATATCAATATTTCTGTCGATTAAATCAACTGATTATATTGCTCCTCATTCTTGGGGAATAATGTCTTTCTTAGGAATTTGACACGAGGACTCTGGCTATGACTACCTATCTAACTGAACATGAGGAATTCTTTATAGAGTTAAATAGTAAGTTCTCTGGTAGGTGAAACTACAATGGCTTTTAGCCCATCTCCATTTTTAAGTAGATGCAGCATTGGTGCTATAAATGCAAGAGATTTGCCACTGCCTGTCTCAGCAAGTACTATTGCAGATCTTTTATTAAACAGAACTGGAATAGCCTGCATCTAAACTGGAGTAGGTTTTTTAAAGTGATTCTCAGCAAGCTTGTGATTAAAGGACTCAGTAAGTTTATACTTCTTGGTCAGCTTTGCAAAGCTATCTATCAAGTCTGGGACGCTGTCTCCCTCTACCTTAATTCTATACTTCTTTCTGAGCTAATTCATAACTTCCTTCTTTTTGTTAACCAAATGCTTGTATTATTCTTCTATCTTCTATATTTTCTTTGGCTTCTCCCCAGTGGTAGCTTTGAGTTGCTTCTTTAACTTCTTGATTTGCTTTGTGATGTCTGGTATCTCCTTATCAGACTCATAGTTCAGATAGTCACGGGGATCTTCCTTTTGTCCTCCATTTTCTTCAGCTGCTTGCTTTTGCTTTAATTCCTCTGACTTTTTGAATTTAGCATCCTATTGTAATTGATATTGATTAGGTAAATTGAAGTAATACAAATAGTTTGAGCACTGGAGCAATTTTGTCCTTTTTAAAGGAAGTTCCACTCTTGAGCAATTAAAAGGTATTCATTAATAAATATTGATAATTATATTACTGCCTCACATAATTATATTTACATTAATGGGGTTTTGGGGTTTTGGGGTTTTGGGG